ACTGACCTGGCTCACTATGTAGCCCAGGCTGGTCTCAAACTCACAGCGATCCTCCTGCCTCAGCCTCCTGAGTGCTGGGATTACAGGTGTGTGCCACTACGCCGGGCCAGTAAGTTCAAAATTTTTAATGGACTATTTTTTTAAACAGTAGGGTGGCTCACAACAAAATTGACTGGAGAGTCCAGAGTTCTGTATAAGTCTGGTCCCCAGGCATGCAAAGTCCCAATAATCAGCATGCCCCACCAGAGTGGCACACTCAGCACAGTCACAGGAGGGTTCTGCTTGCCAGTCAGACCACCGTGCGACGAGGCTTACCCACCACTGTAAACCCACACAGAATGGCCTCGCTGCCCTGCAGGCCCACCCGCCCTGGCTACCGCCCAACCTGTTACTGTCTCTGTGGTTTTGCCTGTTCCATGTCAAAAGAATTTCAGCAAGTTAAGTAAAGATCTAATTAGCTTGTATTCACCATTCATGAATCAGAACACTTTCTGTTCTGTAAAGGAGTTGGAGAGCTCCCACCCGACCATAACAGAGAGGGTTTAGAGATGGGAACAAGGAAGCAAACATAGGAAAAGAAACCGGTAGGTTAACATGAGGTCCTGCAGGCAGCATTTCTTGACGGGGTTAAGCAGGGAGGACTTCCTTGCACACTGCCTCAGCTGGTGGCATCTCCTGTCTGCAGGAGAAATGGTCTGTTTGGAGATCCGCCTGTGTCCTTAAATAGGATTACATGGCCTCGAGCACACGGCTCCTTGTTGGCTTCCTGGGTCTGCCGATTGGGAGGCCTCCTGGGCTGTGGTCTGGAATGTCCTATGGTTGGAATCTGCCTGAAGCTGCCTCACTTGGGTTCTTTCAAGCCTGAGAAAAACATTTGAATGTGCACATTCTGTTTGTGTGTTCTACAAAATATCCAGAAGATTGCCTGCTGAAGCTTGGCGTGTGGGGAGGAGCTGGAGGAGGATGGGACATGCTCTGCCAGCCACGACGTCTGCCAGCCTGGGGCTGAAAGGGTCCCCCACTTCCCTCCTCGTGACTTTTATAACCATGCTAGATGAAGTCTAGAGTGTAACATTAGAAATGGGGCCGGGGCCGGGGATTTAGCTCAGTGGTTCTGCTGCCTGCTTTGCAAGCGCAAGGTCCTGAGTTCGATCCCAGGCACCCAAAAGAAATGGGGGCGGTCAGACACATGGTCTTAAACACTTCCTCGCTGGAGAGGCCAAGTCCTGGGTGTGAGAAGAGAGGCAGAGGAAGTTGGTTGGGCCTGGCACATGCCATTTAACAGATCCAAACCTTGCCATTCACCAGATCTTAAAAATCAGTTTGGTGGTTATCTGTTCTTACCCAGTTTCATCAGTTACTCCCTCCCTCACTGCTTATCAAAAGATTTCTCCCAGTCTTGGTGTTGATGTGCTCCCAGGTGCCCTGGGCCAGCCAGCGAGGCCATCCAGCTCCTGCCTGTAGTAACAGGTTGTCTTCCTTCTCCATCTGGAGCTGTGGTCCCTGAGGAAAGCCTTGGGCCTGTCGCTGTGGAGTGGCAGGGCTGGGACCTGCCGTGCTCCTTCTCTGGAGCCATGGCGACTGTCACAGATGAACTGAAAAATTCTCTTCCTGCTTTCAGTTCTGCTCTTGCCTGGGCACCCTCTCTGAAAGGGGGAGGTAGAAGAGAATGGGTAGAAAGAATGGGTAAGGATGAGGGGCTGCACACGCAAGTGGGTAGGCCAAGCTGCAGGGTCTTCTGTCTGAGGCTCTGGGCTGCGTGGTCTCCATCCCCTTCCCAACTCTGTCCTGTAGGTGGAGGGAAAGCAGCCTGTGTTGTTTAGGGGCTCAGGTGACTCCAGCCTGCTGGCCACTAGCAGCAGTGGTGAGTGACCTTCTGCCTGCGGCTGCAGTTTGCTGACCCCACCCGAGTGCTGGGGACCCTGGGTCAGGAGGTCGTGCAGTGTGTGCTACCTGGGCTCTCTGTGGAGGCCTCTCTGTGCCCACCTAGTCAGGCTGTGTGAAGATGAGGTGAGAAATACAAGGGGAGCTGAGAATCAGGTGTTTCGGTCACGTTTGGGCAGTGGAGGAGCCGTGGTTCCCTGGGGCCAGCTGGGGCAGATGGGGCAGGGGCACTGGTTTAGCAAAGGCAGCTCATCTCAGTCTCCAGGCATGCTTTTTCATAAGGAACTATACAGTTGGGTGTGGCAAAGCACGCCTGTAACCCTATCACTCAGGAGCCTGAGGCAGGAATATTGCCGCAAGTCTGAGGCGAGGTTGGGCTACACAGTGAGTTCAAGGCCAGCCTGAACTACACAGCTAGACCCTGTCTCAAAAAACAAAAACAAAAAAATAAAAAAACCAACCCCCCAACCCAAAAAACCCTACACAAATCCCCAGAACTATATCATTTATATCTCATAGCTTTCACTTCAGGTGTCTAATTTGATTTCCCCCCATATTTTTTAGTGTTGGTGATCTAACTTCTTGGTACTCCTGGGCCAAGTGTTCATTAATTTTTAGGTGATCAGTAGCTGTCAGTAGTTTATTTTATGTTGATTGTATTGATTTTTGCATAGCTGGATATCCGCTGTATTTTTTCCTTATATGAACAGGACCCTTACTACAGATTTAATGACCTTGACTACAGATGGATCTCCTTGGACAACTGGACCTATAGCAACGAATTTAAAATTCCCTTCGATATCAGGTGTGTATATGTTTGTATGTGTACTATACTCATTACTATTTGAGCTTTTTTTCCCTTTGCTTTTGTTTGCTTATGTTGTATATCAGATCATTAACTCAGATTGAATCTTTCACTGTAAGAGTAAATATATGATTTATGTTATGTTTTGTTTAGTCATCAGCCATGACATGGTGTCTTGGGGAAAACATTTTCAATTTTGTTACGGAGTCACCTAGACTTGGCCAATTCTGTGCACAAACTCCTCCCTCCTCTAGTGACCAACCGGGTCCGTACATGTGTAGTACGGATAAGCAGGATCGGAGGTGAAGCGTTTGTTCTGTGTGATGCTTATACTGGGTCCTGAGGTCATGAAAGAAGGTCACATGTTATTTTCAGTAATGTTATGTGTTATAAACAAATACTTCTGTATGAAGCAGAATGTAATCTGAAGGGACATATCACCATTATTATTACATTTATGGTTATTTTGGGTACTGGGGATCGAACTCGGGACCTTGCACTTCTCAGGCAGGTGGCGGGACCACTGAGCTAAATCCCCGGCCCCTGTTTTCCCCTTTTTATTCCATCCGGGCTGCCTATTGGCTGGTGCCACCCCCCCCCAAGAGTGGGTCTTCCCTCTTCAGTGAGCCTATCACTCACACACAGAGCTGTGCTAAACCTATCAGTGGACTAGTCCAGTATCACACCCCATGCTCCTGTCACTCCCAAAGATCCCACTGTGAGTGTCTGAAGCTTTCAGGGGACATCCAGACCTCAGCCATAGCATCCTGAATCTTAATTCCTCTAACATTTCTCTTGGTTGAGCCCCTCCTTCCTCATTTGCAAGTTTCCAGCGTTGCCCGGAAGTGAGTGCCTGGCAGAGGCTGAAGCTGCCTTGTAGCTTTGTCCTTTTGTTCTCCTGTCTTCCCTGTGTAGAGACATCAGACTTACCTGCCCAGAATTCTGATTTTGCCATGATGTGTTCTTGCTCAAGAAGCAGAAGTACCTTTCCTTTTCTTGACACATCAGGCTCCCATCTGCTTGTCCAAAAAGTTCTGCCAGGTGTTATGTCTGCCCCGGCCCTGCCACCTGTCCATCTCGGCCCCAGCTCCCCAGCCCCAAGCTGCATCTGAATCAAGCCTTTTTACTTTAAAGTAATTACTGCTGTGAGTCCGTTCTCTGGATGTTTCCCCTTTACCCAGAGTTTTCTGCTTTTCTTAAAACAAACAAACAGACTTTATTGAGGTATAATTCACATAACAGACAGTTCATTCATTGAAAGTTCAGTTCAGTGGTTTCACAGAATTGTGCAACCATCACCGTAATCAATTTTAGAACATTGTTCTCACCCCAGAAGAGAGCCGTCATCCCACATCCCTACTGCTGTTCCAGGCAATATACTTTCTGGTCTGGAAGCCTCGTTACGTGTGTGGCTCTTTGTGACAGGTGCTGTTACTCAGCACAGTAGTGTCCCAGAGCTTGTCAGAGTTGCTGTACGTATCAGTGCTGAACTCCTTTTTTGCTGAGTGATATTTCATTGCATGGCTATACCACATCTTATTTAATCTCTTCTTTAAGTTTTTGTCTTCCCCTTGAAGTCTTTTTTTTTTTTTTTTTGGTACCAGGGATCAAACTCGGGTCCTTGTGCTTGTGAGGCAGGCGGCGGAACCACTGAGCTAAATCCCCAGCCCCTTGAAGTCTTAATTGATGAGCTAGACTCTGACAGCCCTCATAGCTATTTAGCACAAGCCATCATAGCAGATAGCAGGAAATTTTCTGTTTCCTGTGTGTTAGGTTTGGTTGACATCTGGATTGCAGACCCCTTAATTCAGATTCCCGGCAGGGCTGGATACTGGGCACATAACATTCATAAATACTAGTTGGTGCTTAACATGTTCTCTTAGCATCAGTATGTATAATAGTTTGTGAAAACATCTTTGTCCGTTGTTTATCTCAGTTCTCATAAGAACTTTGTGAATTAACTAAATAAAAATCACCACATGGGCCAGGGATTTAGCTCAGTGGTTCTGCTCCCTGCCTTGAAAGCACAAGGTCCTGAGTTCGATCCTGGTATAAAAAACAAAAACAAAAAAGCACCACATTTGGAAATTATAGGTGCGCTCTTGACGTTGTGGCAATTGACTGATATACCATGGAGAAAATTAAACTGGGTTACTCAAAAGAACATGTGTTAGTTAAATCAATACTCCTGAAAATTGTACTGGAAACTTGCTGTTTAAGATGTTTTGTTTTTTTTTCCCCTGTGAAATGTTTACTTTTTTAGTTCTTCACTAATTACAAAAAGACTTATCTAAGTTAATGTTTTATGCATCTTATTTTTTTAAAAAAACTTTTCTTTGTTTTAGCAAGTGGCAGAAAGTCAGTTTGATTTTTGAGGGAGTTGATACAGTGGCAGAGATCCTCTTCAATAATGTCTCTATTGGGAAAACAGACAGCATGTTCCGTCGATATGTAAGTACATAACCACACTGGGCGAAAGCCCCGTGCGTGTGTCTGAGAGCGGAGCAAGGTGTGTTCGTACCTGGCTGCGCCACAGGTGTGAGCGCTTTGAAGCACTGGCTGGGAAACTGACTGTACTTCTCGGTGGCCGCACTGAAGGATGATGGAAACCTCTCCAGGCCCAAGGAGGTTAGCATGGGGCTTGAGAAGTGAATTCTGAGAGTGGTCGGCAAGTGCTGCGTGCACAGAGAGTGTTTGATAGCCCTGCTCTTTTCTCTCCTCTCTGGGGATACAGCTTTTCGTGTGCAGTGACAATTGGCAAATTATTTTTCAAAGAAGATAGTTTCTTTCTGGAAAATTCCATTAGGAGCTTGTATCCCGATCTCCCTTCCCTTTCAAGGTTAGCCTTTTTTGAACAAAAGTAGCGTGTGATCCGGGGACTCACGCAGTATGTTCCGGGAGTCGGGTTGGCTCGAGGTGTCTCAGAACCCTTGGCGGCTCAAGGCCGCATGCAAAGTGCTGGAGAATTTTGCTGTTTCCCAGTCTGTCCTCCTGTCAGGAAAAACAGGAGAAACTAGGAAATTGCCTGGCCAGGAGAACAGGCTCAGTGAGAGCGGAACGCGGGCACTTGTGTGTACCGTTTCTGGAGAGGTGCTAGGCCGAGGAAGCCAGCCCTGGATTCGAGCCCGTTTACGAATCTGCCTCGCGTTCTACCCTTGCCTGAGGTTTTACCCGGTCTCCCCGGCTTCAGAGCTTTGACATCACCAGCGTGGCCAGAGACGTGAACTCCCTGGAGCTGCGCTTCCAGTCGGCCGTGCTGTACGCGGCACAGCGGAGCAGAGCCCACGCCGGCTACCCGGTGCCCCCCGCCTGCCCCCCGCTCGTGCAGAAGGGCGAGTGCCACGTCAACTTCATCCGCAAGGTAGCGCTGTCCGGTCGGGGCTTTGAGTCTGAGGATGGGACTACTGGGGAGGAAATGCTGCTTGAAAACTCACCTTGCTGGTTCAGCAGTGGAATTTTTCCAGACCCCAAAATAGGACTCAAACATTTGTTGTTTTTGTTTTTTGTTCTGTTTTTGGTACCAGAGATCGAACTTTGGACCTTGAGCTTGCGAGGCAGGCGGCAGAACCACTGAGCTAAATCCCTGGCCCAGGACTCAAACATTTGAAAGAAGCTAGTCATGGTGGCACAATCCTATAATCCCAGCACTGTGAGGCTGAGGCAGGAGGATTGCCACCAGCCTGATATATGTAGTGAGATCCTGTCTCCGAAAAAATTGAAAGAAGAGCCAAAAGGTTATCTGACTTTTGGTAGAGAATCTTTATCTTTTTAGATCTTCTTCCTGAAGCATGTTTCAGGACTTAGATGACATCAGAAAAAGAAGAAAAGTTTGTGAGTGGTCATGTGACTTTACAGATTAATTTTTAACATTTATGACACTTGCCACCAGCTGTGAGAATGTGTCAGTGATTCTTGTGACCAGGCAGTCTTTTGCAAAGGTAGTGTTTTTGCTGACGCAGTCTCACATGTGACTGCTAGGTTCTCATAAAATCTTAACCAAAAAAAAAAAAGAAAAAGAAAAAGAAAATCACATAGGTGGTTGTTTTCCTTCGATTCATTTTCCAGTCTAGAGGACTTGGATTTATCCTACTGCAGGACTGTGTTAGTATTCTAGGTGGCATTAGGGTTTTTTCCCCACTGTGCTGGTGGAGATTGAACTGAGAGCTTTGCCTCAGTTCAAAGCTCAGTACTAGAGCTAAGTAAGCACCCTGGTACTAATCAGTACCCTGGTCCCTTTCACTCTTTTGGAAGCTGGGTCTCGCTAAGCTGCCCAGGCTGGCCTCTAACTTGGGATCTTCCTGCCTCAGCCTCCCGAGTAGTTGGGGTTACAGGTATGCATTTCCATGTAGGTCTTCATATTTAGTCTTTAGGAAGAAATGTACTTGTCCTTCACTGAACCTTTGACCCTTCCACTCCCTCCACATGGACATAAGTCCCCTATGTCTTTGCTTCCTTCTTGGTCCTACCTAGGTGGGGTCCCCAGCTTTTCAGCTCCCCCTTACTGGTGCCTGGCACCGTCCTCTTGCTTCTCCGCTCAGAGTGACACCACCTCCATCCTTAGGCTTTAGTGCAGTGATGGTGAACCTTTTGAGGATGAGGGCCCAAACTGCAACCCAAACCCACTTATTTATATCTGAGCACCAACACTGCAGTTAAATCTGAAGACTGAGGTTTTGGTTTAGGAAAAACAACCCATACATTAACATCCTTTGTCGTAGAAGAAAGACAAATGCATACACGCCAGAGGTTCTCCACCATTGTTCTAGTGGCTGGAGACGACTGTCTGGATCAAGCCCGCAAGGGAGGGTGCTGCGCAAAGGCGAACAGGATAATTGTGGGCCACAAGAGGGCTGTCCACGGTGTGGACCCTCACACCCACTGTTATGGGCTGAATTACGTCCTCACGATTCCGGTGTTGAACTCCTAGCCTCTGAGCTCCAGAATATGCCCATATTTGGTGATAGCCTTTAAAGAGGAGATTGGGTCAGTTGAGGAGGTTAGGATGGGCCAGATTTTGGATGACCGGTGTTGCTTTGGACAACACAGAGGCCCCAGGGATGCTCAAGCACAGCACGTAGTGAGAAGGGCCATCTGTAGGCCAAGCAAGGATGTGGAAGAAGCCACACAGTGGTCTTGGACACGTGGCCTCTGGAGCCCAGAGGAGAAGTCTGGTTTGGCGAAGCCACTTGCTGGGGCATTCTGTTACAGTAGCTGTAGCAAACTTGTGTGTTCGTGTAACACTAGGGAGGCAAGCATCACACTGTGCACACCAGTGCAGTCAATGCAGTCTTCTCCACTCACGTGACAGGAGCAGTGTTCCTTCAGCTGGGATTGGGGCCCGTCCTTCCCCACCCAGGGCATCTGGAGAGACGTCAGCATCGAAGCCTACAACCTTTGCCATCTGACCCACTTCACTTTCACCCCCGTCTACGGTGAGCTGAGCCCAGTGCCTCCGGCGTTTCTTTCTTAGTCTCCTCCCTGGTGAAAAGATGGGTTCATAATTTGAAAGTCCCGGTGTATTTTGCAGAGAAGTAATGGATACAGACTGTGGTCTGTCATGAAAATTACAATATAAAGCAGGGAAGTAGGCAGATAGCTCTAGCGTATTAACAAAGAAAGAAGGGAGGGAAGGCATTTCCAAAGCTTCCTGGGTTAAGTAATCTGTTTTGAAAAGGTGGGGCATGTGGCTTGTCTTCCTTTCTGTCACCCCATGGTGGGTGACAGTCCTTGGTCTGTGCCCATCTGGGTTCCAACTTTCTCTCCTTCCTGTTACCTCTGTGACTAAGGTGCCTCTGAGGCACAAATGAATGGAAAGTCAAGAAGGCACAAAGTCTTGCAAAGTGAAGAATGCTGCTTTTTCCGCTGAAGGAGCTACTTGCCATAAGGAGCATTGAAATGAAACCTCGGAAATCACACAGACACCAGTCAGTGCCTTAGGGTCTGGGTGTTTGTTGGGCTCTTTACTTACCCTGGGCTACTTTGGCACAGACTGGATGCATGTGGCCATAGACCGGAAGTCTTGTGCTTGTGGCCATTGCTCAGTGTGCCACACGGTGTGGGATGGGAGGGTGACAGGAAGGGTGACCAGGTTGCACAAGATTGTTATGGCCTTCCAGGGTGAAGCCAGTGGCTCAGAAAGAAACCGAAAGGAAGGTAGAGGCGAGGGTGATGGCAGGTGATGATTGGGGCTCTCAAAGTGCTCACTTACCCTGCAGGACAGGTCAGTGGGAGGAAGCATCATCTCCCTGAGATCCCAGTGACCCTTGGGCCAAATCTGAAGGCTGAAGTCAGAAGCGCCGAGATACAGTTGGTGACTGAAGAGCTTCTTTAGCTCTGTGGGTATTTCTAAAGTTTAGAGAGGCATTAAGACATCCAAGGTCAATTGGATTTTTCAGAGTGTCTCAAACTATGCTTCCAATAGAGAAATACTATACAGTGAGACAGGGCCTTGCCTTGCCTCCATTTTTTTCCTCTATATTTTTTGGAAATGTAATAGTTTACGCTACTGGGCTCTTGCCCAATATATCAAAATGTTTTGTAACTGAACTTGTGACCTCTCAGGAATATTGTTAGCTCCACCCCTCTCAAGAATGTTCCAGTAAGTCCTGCCCCCTCACAAGACTGCTCTGTTAAGCTCCACCCCCCTGCTTCAGGAATGTTCTGTAACTCCACCCCTCTGCTTCAGTGAGCATGCTCACCTACCCTGTATATCCCTATATAAGGACGCTCTCGTTTCTGGTAGAGGGCTCAAACTTTGAGTATGAGTTCCTCTGAGCCTGCGGCATAAATAAAGGTTTTTCTCCACCTTTTTGAGTGACCACTGATTTTTTGAGTCTTCAAATTGCAGTAGCTAAGACCCAGAGCTGTAGCACTGAGCTATTCTGCTTTGCCACAACACTTCTACAAGATAATCTAGATGAAAGGTTTTAACAACGAAGATCAAATAATGGTTGATTCTCCCCATTCCCCATTCCCACCCTTTGGTTTTCTATAGTGTGAGTCTGTAGGTTGAGTATCCCTAACCCAAAAATACAGAATCTGAAGTGCTTTAAAATCCAAAGCTTTTTGATTGCTGATATGGTGTCACAGTGGAAAATTCTATGCCATGAAACTGTTTCATACATAGAATTGTTAAAAACACCATGTAGAGGGCCAGTGATTTAGCTCAGTGGTTCTACCGCCTGCCTTGCAAGCACAAGGACCTGAGTTTGATCCCTGGTACCAAAACAAAAAACAAAAAACAAAAAAACACCATGTAGATTTACCTCCAGGCTACATGTATAGTGTATACTTGAAATTTGAATTTTGTATTCAGAGTTGGTTTCCCCCCCCCAACATATTTCATTATGTGTCTGCAGATATTTAAGACTCTGAAAAAACCTGAGGTCTAAACCACTTCTTGCCTCCAGTCTTTGGGTAGGATATTTAATCTGTAATAGAGCTTAGTAGAAGAAAGTGTTGGAAGTAGCAAAGAACTCTTTATTTAATGATTGTGAAGTTTAATAAGTTTTTTAAGGCAGTTTGCAAAAAAGGCTATAAGTTCCAGGTATTCTGATACCTGAGAAAAATTTGAATAACACTGCTTTGAAGTTTTAAATGTGAAGTGAAACATTTCTTTCTCAATATGTTTCATTAGACAGAGTTCAGTCTCTAAGAACTAAGTGAATTGTATTGGAATTAATTCAGTTTACATGATGCTTAAGATCCAATTTGAGTTCAGGGTAATCAATTTCCCATATCAGCTACAGTTTTGATTTTATGGTTACAACATACCATATATTTAACATAGAGAAAAGTACATCTCCTTGTCATGAGCTGTGCTTTGTGGACTCTAAGCAGTAATTCTCATATTTCTGATTAATTTAATAGCTATCAATTTGTTTATTTGGTGTGAGGAAGAAAATTGAATCATAAATTTATGAAAGCATCAGGGAAAGAGCTGCCTTTAGTTTTTTCAGTATTTCTTTTTCTTTCAGCTTTTATCTGAAAGACAGCAGTCACTGGTAAAGTTATTAGATATTTAATGTTTGGAAAATAGTAGTATAAGATAATGTAGTATGGATTTTTTTCCCATGTTACTGGAGATTAAACCGAGGGTCTTTACACTGCATCACATTCCCAGCCCTTGTAAAATATTTTAAATTTTGAGACAGGTCCTTGTTAAGTTGAGCTGCCCAGGCTGATTGCAAACCTCCTGCCTCAGCCTCCCAAGTGCTGGGATTCTAGATGTGTATCATCAGGCCTGGTTTAAGTCTGGATACTTTTATGCATTTATTTGGTATACACTATGAAGCAGGCACTGTGGGACTTACTAAAAATTGAAAAATTCATTGATAACTAAAAACATTTTTATTTATAGTCAAATATATTCTTTATTTTTTGTACCAGGGGTTGAACTCAGGACCTTGCACTTGCCAGGCAGGCACTGTGCCACTGAGCTAAATCCCCAGCTCCAAATATATTATTTTTACAATTTGATGTAAATGAGATTAGTGAGACCTACTGCAAACAGTAGATGCCTCTGTAGTAGTATTACAGTATTTTGTTTGTCTACTCAAGTGCCTTTTCTAAAATTTCTGTATTGAGCCTCTGTTGTACATGAGGTAAGGGGGAACGTAGTTGTTAAAACAAACTAGTGATTTTACCCAATGCAACATGAAGGGCTAAATTGTCTGTGTTATGGCTTGTGTTTGGATGTCCCCTTGAAGCCTCATGCGGTCATAGGTGGGGCTTGTTCAGAGGTGGCAAGATCTAGGGTATGTGACTGATTTATGGTGCAGTGCTAGGATTAAGGGTGCTAAGACTAAGGGTGAATGATTACTAAATCAGTCCAGTGATTGGTTTGCCACCTCTCTATTCTCAGGAGTGTAGATAGAATGTAAAATGGGCAGAAAAAAGCTGCTAAGGTCCCTTGCTTGCTTGGCTGCCTTCTGCCCTCCATGAACTGTTTCTCCTCTGCGATGCCTGTGTGCTGTGCCTCTGCCCTAAAGCTAGCCAATTATGGACTGAAACCTCTACAAACTGTGAGCTGAATGAACCTTTCCTACTTTAACTTTGGGTATCCAGTATTTTGTCTCAGCAACGAGAACAATAACTAAGACACTGTGAGGCACTTTCTGTTTCCTCCCTGTGGAGGTTAGAAAGAGATCATCTTTTTTGCTTTCTCAAATGTTCAGTTTATTTCTTAATTAAAAAATTAATGCATTTCCTCCTGAAGATCAAATGACAAATCGTATGTTCCTAACTTAGTTGTGCATGGTGTGGCAGAAAGAGAGCTTCTTAGCTTTAATGTTTAATCTGAAGTGGAGTAGCTTGGGGACCCAGGCTGGACTTGGGGCATGAGGTATGGGGAGGGCGTTTGAGGTGGGGTCTGCAGCTCCAAATAAGAGGACGTTGATAAACAAATAATCCATGCAAAATGCAGGCTCTGGGTGGTGGGGGAGAGAGAGAGAGAGAGAGAGAGAGAGACTGACTGACTTCCGTTCCTTCATCAGTTGTCTTGTGAGTTGTTCCTGTTGCTTAGGGAGGGATGACCGCCTATTTTTAAGAACATTTCAGAAGGTTGTGGAGATAGTTAAAATGCACAGTGAGTGCGCTCTGTGGAAACGCTGTGCTTTCGGCCATCTGTTACCACACTCAGGAGAAGATAACACAGTTGAGGCCCAGCGTGAGGGAGGCAGGCAAGGAGGACCTGTGGCTACGGCCACCTGTGCCTAGCTGCCGTGAAACTGCACCCTGTGCTCAGTGGGCTGCAGTCTCTAACGTTTCTACTTCCAGAAAGGAAAACATTCGACATCTTCTGCTCTGGAAGGTCGTTTAGGTGATTGCACGTGGTTAATCGAGGAGCAACAAAATCTGAGTCACACACCGGAAACAGGGAGTCAGCCTGTTTTTTAACGCATTTCCTGATCTTTCAAGTGATCCTCATTTGCAGCATCTTCCACAGTTTTGGAGATGGTATTGTTCTTGTCCTGCTGTGCCTTGCATTTCAGACCTCTGGGGGAGTCATCAAGTCACACAGTTTAGGTTAGAAAAGCAGGCCCAGTGGCACTGTCTTGACATTCAGGAAACTGGCCTTTCACAAAACAAGCACTCAGCTTGATTCGGACCAGGACCACTACCCTCCCAGAAGTTAACAATTCAAAGCAAGTGCCTTGGACTAGCAGGAAAATTACTGGTTAACTGAGACTTTGTGCTTTGTAACTTAACTCTTTACTTTCCCGCGTGGTTTTGTTGCTGTTTAGAATGGAGTTTAACCTTTCTAGATTAAAAGATGTTTCCATGGACGTTGTACTGTGGAGTGCTTACTGGTTTAGAAGTGGCTTTGGCCTTATTTCCACCAAACCCCGAAGACTGCAGGGATAATTTTGCTTTTTCTCTTTGTGCTCTAGATAACACTGCCCAGGTGTGGAGTGTTGAAATAGAATCTGCTTTTGACATTGTCAGCTCAAAGCCAGTTCACGGCCAGGTGGTCGTGGCCATCCCTAAACTGCAGACACAGCAGACCTACAGCCTTGAGCTCCAGCCTGGGGAGAGGATTGTTGAGCTCTCTGTGAAAATTAACAAGGTGAATGCTGGGGCTTCCTGAGACACAGGAGGAAAGTAACAGCTGTTCAAAGGAAATGGGTAGGAAGAAGGGACTGCGTATGGAAGAAAAGCTGCTTTCTCCGTTTAATATTTTCCCCTACTTAACCTCTCAGATAGTTTGTGGGAGTGTGAGCTAAGGAATGACTTTCCCAATGTTGTAGATGGGGTTGATACATTTTCACTCTGTAGTTCAGGCTGGCCTTGAACTCACAGCGATCCTCCTGCCTCATCCTCCCAAGTGCTGGGATTATAGGTGTGTATCACCATTCCTGATATGATTTTCCTCAATGTTTTTTTTTTTTTTTTTTTTTTTTTTTTTTGTACTGGGAATTGAACTCAGGGACTCACACTTACCAGGCAGAGGCTGCACTGCTGAGCTACATTCTCAGCCCTCCAACACCATTTGCTGAAGAGCCTGTTTCTTCCTCTGAGTGGTCTTGGCATAATTGTCAAAGACCACTTGACTATATGTGCAAGGGCTTTTTTTTTCTGGTATCTGTATTCTGTTCATCAGTCTGTCTTTATGGCAGTGACACATTTTAATGTAGCTCAGGCTGGTCTTGAACTCACAGCAATCCTCCTGCCTCAGCCTCCTGAGTGCTGGGATTACAGGCGTGAGCCAACATGCCTGGCAATTTTCCCCAATGTTAAGAGTAAGAAGATGGAGGAAATGTGATTAATTTGGAAACCTTTCCTCTTGAGAGATTGGTAATATTCTATTTTTTCCTCTTGTACTAGCAGCACCCGAAATGCAGTGTATATTTATTATGCACTGTATTTAAGTACAGTGATTATTTTCGCTATTCATCAGTTACTTTGAGTATTGGTGCTATTGCCTGGAGAGATGTAAAAGAAATGTCTGCCTCTGGATGGGGAGGAGGTGACAGTCCAGAGAATGACAGGTCCAACCTGGCAAGCAGCTGTTTGTTGGGGTGACGTTAAGAGCGGTGACCACTGAAGTTGGTAACCCCTCCTTGCTGAGCTGTGGGTTCTCTAGGGCACTGATTAAAACAGCACAGGCAGGATCAGAAGCAGGAGGCGTCCTGTCGTTTTCAGCAACTCTGCCCATCACAACCAGCCCTGTCTGTGTGGTGGTGGTGATTTTTGCTGCAGTCTAGAACTCAGCCTCAGCCACAGCAGGGCCACTAAAGACATGGTGACATTGGTGCTCTGGGGACAGGTCTCATGGGAGGTGCGTCCTCTACATGTGAATCACGATTCCAAACTCATGAGTGTTATGGGTAGAATGGAATGGGTTTTACTCCCTTTGTCCCTAAGTCTAGTCCTAGCCCTCACCCCTAAGCCCTATCATTTAAGCCTAACCCTAACCCCAGCCCCAGCCCTAGCCCTAACCCTAGTGCCTAATCCCTAAGTTCCTTTTCTATGCCTTTCATTGATAATTGTGAGCTGAGAGAGAACCTAGGGAGTGTGTGGGGATGGAGATAACATTCAGTACCTCTCCTGGTAGAGTAAGAATGCTGTATCATTTCTAGTTTGGCTGGAAAGAAGAGTCGACCTCAAAGTCCTATTCCAAGTGTTAAGGATGTAGAATAAATGTGGGCTTGGGAGTTAGAGGAAGAGTTGCTTTTCTGCATATCTGTCTTTGTTTTATTCTGTTCTTTACCTTCTTCTTTGTTGTATGTGTCTGGGCCATGTTCTGGGCATGTTGATTTTGGGATATTATCAGTGGGTTGGTGTGATTTGGCATAATACAGGTAGGGAGATTTGTGCTGTTTTAAAATGTGGAGCTTTCTGTTCTTGATCATATGAGAAATTGATATAATACTCTGAATCATACTGCATTTCTTTTTGCTTTTTTTTTGGTGTGTGTGTGGTACTGGGGATTGAACTCAGGAACTGGTGCTTGCAAACCAGGTTCTGTGCCACTGAGCTAACTCTCTGGCTGCCATACTGCCTTTCTGAAAATATACTGCATTATTTTGAATGACTTATCTCATTTTTTCAAAGAATATTACTGTGGAAACTTGGTGGCCTCATGGACATGGAGACCAGACTGGGTACAACATGACAGTTCTATTTGAACTAGATGGAGGCTTGCATATCGAAAAATCTGCTAAGGTAAGTAATACTTTGAATATTTCGTGAAAAAATTATATTTATTTTTAAAATGGCAGTATAGATCTTTGAAGGAAAAGAAGCCAAAAAATGTATGATTCTACCACTCAGAGTAACAGCATTTAAAAAGCTTCTGTGTGTGTGTGTGTGTGTGTGTGTGTGTGATGGCTTGCATTTAGGTGTCCCTCCAGAGCTTCGTGTGATCATAGGTGCGGCTTTTTCAGAAGTGCCTGGATCTAGAGTGTGTGATGCTGGGATTGATTCATGGTGTAAGGCTAGGGATGAGGGCACTAGGATTAAGGGTGTGAGTGCTGCCCGCCCTCAGTAGCCTGGGTAAGATATAAGGGGCAGAAAGATGCTGTTAAGGTCCCTTGCTTGCTTGCTTTTGCTGCCTTCTGCCTGCTATGAACTGTTTTCTCCTCTGCGACACCCCTCTGCCACGCTACCCTGCCTTGGAGCCAGGTGATCATGGACTGAAACCTCTACAGACTGTGAGTAAATAAGCCTTTCCCCCTTTAACTTTGGCTGTTGGGTATTTTGTTTCAGCAATGAGAAAAGTGACTAAGATAAGTGTGTGTGTACATATATATATATATGTATATATATATATATATTTTGGTACCAGGGAAAGAACTTGGGACCTTGTCCTTGCGAGGCAGGCGGCAGCACCATTGAGCTAAGTTCCCGGCCCCATATGTGTATTTTTAACTGCGTCAGACTTTACGTATTGTTTTGTTAATAAATATTCTCCTTCAATACTTTTTCTTTTCTGTTCTTTTCCTGATGCTGGGAGCTGAACTCAGGGGCTCCTGCATGCTGAGCAAGCACCCTGCCTCTGAGCCACAACCCCATCTTTTGTGCTTTTAGTTGTAATTGTTTATATCCAAGTAATACATGTGTGTAATTTTAAAGCTCACATATTACTAGAAGTTTCATATGAAAAGCTCCTTTGGCCCACCTCTTCCTATTCCTATTTTCTAATTGCCAGAACCAAAAATTTTAACTTCTGCTTATTTCTTTTGCCATTCCTCTTCATATCCCCAAATTCCTACATCGACTGGTGTTTCCACGCTAAGCCAAGAAGTAGTGCCATCCCGAGACTGTGGGGATCCTTGAGCTTTAAGGAGGGACAGATGACAGATGGTGCTTCACCAAGGTTGTATAGTTTGCATTGGAAGAATGGTGCTGTGGATTCCGTATGTAAGGTCCCCCAAAGTCTCCTGTGTTCAGAGGTGGGCTTTTGGGAGGTGAGAGGATCATGGGTTGCTCTTCTCTTCTGCGGGTCCATCCATTCATGAATTCATGGCTGACTTCTGTGAGAGGTGGAGCCTGGTTGACGGAGATGGGTCACTGGGGATGTGACTTGGAAGGGTGTGTTCTTGTCGTCAACTCCTCCCTTCTCCCTCTGCTTCCTGGCTGCCAAGGGTTGAGAAACTTTCCTGTACTTTCCACCAGGCTGTTTCTATCTTGGAGCCGGCCGTCTGTGGACGGAACCCTCTGAAATAATGAGACAAAATAAACCAGGCTTATGACGTGTCAGCTGGGAAAGAGGGCTCTACTGGGAATTGGAGTAGAGGCCATGCGTTTTACATTCTGGTGAAGAGCTTGTTACACTTTGCTTCTGTCTAGAGACTTTGCTGAAGGCTGAGTGTAAGGGCTATGAACTCATTGATCTGGTAGAGGAGATTTCAAGGCAGCCTAGTGTTCAGGGCATGACATGAGTACTTCTGACTGCTTTTAATCAGTTTTATAGTGAGAATCAGCTGCAAAAAACAGAGCGTAAAATTTTGAAAATCTTAAGTTTTGGTCAGAAAAGAAACACACATAAAGTTTTAAAAATACATTTCTGAAGATAAAGATTATCTGTTAGTAGAAGCATGGACAAAATCATTCTTATTATTCAGAGTATTCAAGGAGTGTTTCCGTACTGAGCATCTGCAGCAGTTGTGACGTGTATCTCCTTCCATGGTAGCCTCTTAGGCCTGTCAAAGAAAATTGCAAAGATTGAGAAGCTGAAAACAAGAACTAGGGCCGGGGATTTAGCCCAGTGGTTCTGCCACCTGCCTTGCAAGCGCAAGATCCCGAGTTTGATCCCCGGTACCAAATAAATAAATAAAAAAACGAAGAAGAACTCGTTTTCTCCCAGTTCTGGGGTCTAGAAGTTGAAATCCAAGACATCAGCAGAGCCATGTTCTCCGAAGACTCCAGGGGAGGGATCCTTCTTTTCCACTTCCTGCTTCTCATTGCTGGCGATCCCTGGCATCCCTGGTTCATAGACACCCCCTCCCCATTGTCACAGGGCCTTGTCCTTTCTTAGAAGGATGCCAGTTGGAGGCTGTTGTGATCTCCCTTGGCTAAGCATGTCTGCAGACCCTGTTTCCAAATGAGGTCACATTTTCAGTGTCCAGGTGGACATGGATTTTGGGGGCACAAGTGCAGTGCTGTGCTATACCCCCCTTTCTTCCTGGTGAAAGTGTAAAGCGTCTCTAAAGGGAGAGGGCTGTGAGAGCAGCTCACTTGGGAGCGGCAGAAAGTGGGTGTATTGCGTGTAGCCACAGAGTGGCTTATTTTATTTTGGTGCTGGGGATCAAACCCCGATCCTTGTGCTTGCGAGGCAGGCGTTGGAACCAATGATCTAAATCCCTGGCTCTGGCTTGTTTATTTTTTAAAAAATGATTCTATGTATTAGCAGGTATAAATAGTGCCAGAAATCACAGCTGCCCCAGGTCATGCAGTCATTTTGAGAGCCAGTTGGTAACAGTTTGTTTCAGCTTTGATCACAGTTGGTGTCTGCAGTTCTTGCTTTGTCACCTACTTTTGTACCTGAAGTAGTTATCGGTGAACGGCATTATCGGAGTGATTACAAACAGGAAGAAACTCTCAGGGTGTGTTACTTCAACTCAGTCTCTGTGACTGCTTGGAGTTACATTGTGCTTAGAACTTAGGATGGGGACAGTGGGGTGAGTGCCATGTCACATGTAAAATTGTGCTTGGTTCAGCGCATGCTTTCGTTTCTACGTGGGAGAGTCTGCTAATTTAAATAGCATCCTATAATTGACATTTAGTCCTTTAAAATTGTTGTTTCGAAACTAAAGAAAGTTAAAGTAAAACACGTAGCAATGGTGTGTTTTGTAGAGGTGGGTATTAAACAACAGCACCTCTGGGGGAGGGTGCGTGAGCTACACGGTAGCAGCTTACAGCAGAGGTCAGTGTCCCCGCTGGTCACGTGGCTCCCTGTGGAGTCGATGGGCTGGAGCGGAGAAGTCACTGGCGTTTCTGGACCCACAGCGGATACTCCGAGTGCTGGGTCATTGTCTCCTAAGCAGTGTTCCTGCCACGGTCCAAGATGCTTCGTGGTGTGGTCCGGACTTCCTGGGGAGCTCATGGAAAAGTCAGGGAAACCAACCCACGTTTATCCCCGCCAATTGGAAATTGCTGTCTGAACCTTGTGGTATTTATTCTTCTGGAAACATCTCCTCATGTGTGACGTTTTTAGAACTTTAGAAAAATTCTGTTCATTTTTATCTCACCTCCTTGATGGGGAAAGCTGCAGAAAGTCTGCAAATTTCACCCCAACATTCGTCGTGAAGCTGGCACCGCGGCAACAAAGGCCAGAAAGCAAATCTCCACTCTGGAGCACAGGGACCGTGTAACCCAGAGAAAATGTGGGCTCGGAGCGTCCTTCTCTCTGCTGCGGGATTCTCTTTGGTATTCTCTTCTTCCCTGGTGTAGTTTTAGGAGTGATTCCTTGGATATGAACATATTGCACATAGTCCAAATCTGTCTTGAGCAGTGGATCGTGAAATACCAAATCTTAAAACATCCGAAGCTCAGTGTGTGCTATGTGCTTGTAATCCGACTGCTCAGGAGCCTGAGGCAGGAGGATCACAAGCTTGAGGTTCTCCTGGGCAACCTAGCGAGACCCGCTGTCCACATAAATCATAAAAAGGGGTGGATGTGGCTCAGCGGTAGAGCATGTGCTAGTGCTTCTTCTGGTGGGGGATCTTGGAGGAAGGCGGCTAGGGGTCCCCCATCATGACCCTCTTAGCAGAAAGTGGGGGAGTCAAGACTGACTGAAAGAGTGCAAAGCAAAAGCTTATTTGAAGTGTAGCAAATGCAGAGAAGGCAGGAGCAAAGCTACCCTAGCAGCAGAGTGCTACTACAAGGTAGGAACCTCCACTCCGAATGCCCAGCGCGTACGGGGTGTGTCTGTACCAATAGGACCAAAGCTGTGTGGGCTGGACCAGTTTGGGGTCTTAGCCTGTGTTCCTGGGAGGGAGACCAAGTCAGCATACAGTAAATGTGAGTGACACTCTCGCGAGGATGCAGCAGGGTGCGCTTTCTCAAGTACACGCTGGAGGATAAGCATGTGGTATGATGATCTTCCGGTCATCTGCAGATGCGCAGATGATGCTTCTGCAGTGTTAGTCATCCGTGTTGTGTCCTGGGGTTTTCTGTCCCTTTAATCTGCCCCAACAGTAGAGTCAGAATGACCATGAGAAGTATAAATGTTTTGAATTGATTCAGGATGTTGAGGCAGCAGCAAAGGTGCAACTGAAGACACTCACCAAAGAGGACTTCCAGAACTGCGTCAGAAAGTGGCAGGAACCCTGCGATGCGCGTGTTCGTGGTAAGGGAGAGTATTTTGAGGGGGTTTCCTGGCAATATATCTTTTGCTGTAATAAATTTTAAAAACTGAGCACTCGCTGTATTTTTTTGATCATACCTCGTGCACTAGATATGTACCTGGTTCAAAGATTTCTGATAACGGACGTGCACTCTAATCTGCTGGCCGTCACACCGGGCCCATTAACTGAGTACTCGTGTGGATGCCCTGCGCCTGTTTGCTCGTGATTCTGCACGACCAAGCACTTTCAGAGCAAAGAAAGAAATCCGGTGTTTGCCTGTTGCTAAAGCGCGTGGCAGTAGGTGTGAAATGGTTTTAGAAAGAGTTAATGTTTGCTAGTGTTTAGAAATAAGTGATCTGTGGTTGAAAAGAGAATTCAGGTTTTGAAAATCTAGTGAATCCGGCAGCTTCTGAAGTGTCTGGTTACCAGCAGCTGAGCAGCCTTCCTGGTCTGTGAATCGGTGATTCACTGCATCGGAATCTGTTTGGTCCCCAGAGAAAGAAACCCGAGGACTGTTCATTCATGCACCCTTGTGGATTTTTCTGGGGGGCTCTGATAGTACCCATTTGCTTCTTCTACACTTTTTAAGTGCATCCTCCCATTTTAAAAATGAAATCTCCGGGCCGGGGATTTAGCTCAGTGGTTCTGCCGACTGCTTCGCAAGGGCAAGGACCTGAGTTCAATCCCTGGTACCAAAAAAAAAAAAAAAAAAAAAAAAATTCAAACTGCTTGACTTTCACATTTCTTAGGTTCTTGGTGTTTATACTTTTTTCCTTGCCTCTAGATGGTACTTTGTTCTGTAGGGCTGTTTAAAATTTTTCATCTCATTGGAAGATGATACATACTTTTATTGTGGATGCAAATATCTCACTCCTGGGCGATTTCAAAAAAACCTTTCAGAGCCTGTATTTTGTTGGAAGTGAGATAACTATCGTAGAAGGCTTTTCCTGTGCATGACCTGTCAGGATGCCGGGGGACAGGGAAGACCCCTGCCCATGAGGGCTGGGCCCATGCTCACAGCTGTCCTGTGAAGAGGTGCTGGCCGCTGGTTTAGGCTTGGCTTCAACCCTGGGTGTACTAGGGGACCCGGGAGGCAGGGAGAGATGTCTTCTCACAGAAAGTTTGCAAAGAGGAGAGAGACATGGTGTTGTGTGTATGGTTATACTGTTTACAGCCTTGACAGAGAGTAAGAAACAAATGCATTCTTTTTCTTACATTAATGACTCTTATATTTTTTCTTTTGGACTGAACTACTTGACACAAAAAGTACTGAGCCCCGGGAAATGCTTGTGTTCTATGGGCTTAGATACTGATATTTGTCTCAGTAGATATTTAGACTGTGAATTAAATGTTTGTGTATTCATGTAAACTCACCATACTAAGCTCATTATGTTAGTATTTTTGAATTGTTTTATGAAAAATAAAAATACAAAATAGGAAATTCGGTGTGGATAGTGACTGTTTCATACATTTGCGAGTCTCTTCATGTTTTAACAATGAATGGATCCTCTTCTTCATCTCCACCCAATTTGCAAAGTGCTGTTCTAATGGAAACTTCAGAAGAAAATCTGACTGACAGGTGTGCGGCTGGAGGTGGGAAGGTGGCACTGCCCTTTCGGGGACATCTTTGTTCGTCGCTGCCTCCTCAGCAGGTGGTGGCTTCTTACAGGTGGCTGCTGTGCGCTCTCCAGCCGTGTCCTCCGTAAGCTTCTGCTCGTGACCTTGGAATACCTGGGTCTCTGTTGCACTTTTAATGGACCCTCTCCCCGTGCGACCCTGCAGGACCATGCGCTGGTTATTCGAGAAATGTCCACTTCCTGAGAGTTTTGAATCCTCCTGATGTGGAAGCCCTTTGCCCTGCAGCGTTGCCTCACCTGTTGTCCGAAAGGTCCTCACCTGCTGGGTGTGTGCTAGCTCTGGGCGCAGATCTGTCTGAGTTTCTCTGGACGGCTGGAGCCTCCTCCCGGGCCACAGATGCTGCTGTGTTCTCTGGGGAGTGACGGGCTTGCTTCGTTCTGTTCTGAGAAAACGCCTGCATGGATTGGCGCCGAATACCTGGAGTCTGCCCACAGGTCTCTTCGTCCCTGAGCAGCATGCCTGCCTCAGCTTTCTCCTGGACGCGGCCCTGCAGGACCCCCGCATCCTTCCTGTCCATCCCCCGCGGTCTCAGAGCTCCGGTGCCACTGAGCTTCGATGCAGTACAGCCATCCTCAGGCCGCTGTGCATCCTGGGCTCCATTGCAGCCCCCTGGTTCCTGCAGGGCCTGGGGTTCCTGCTCAGCTGCTCTCAGGGGAGCCCAGAGACTCGGGTGCTCAGTTCGTGAGTTGCCTCATCGCCTCTTAGGTTTGGGGATAAAATGCCACCTAGAAGTTCTTCACTGACTTATTGGGCCAAAGCAGAGCAGTGGGAGCCGGCAGCAAGGCACCGGGTTGTTTGCAAGGCAGAAGTGCGTTTCTGCAGAGGAGACAGACATGGAGTCCACACTGCAGGCAGACCCTGCAGGCCGGGCTGTGATCTGTCTGCACACAAGTTTCCCAGCTCCTGCGCCCCTGCCCCAGGCAGCACAGGCAGCTTGCCTTTCACCCATTCACTGTCAAGGGACAGGCGCCTGTGCCTGTTGCTTTGCTGGCTTCAAAAATGTAATGAGTAGTGTTTGGCTTTTAAAAAGTGTCATATGTCAAGGTTAAAGTACTCGATTTTCCTCTTCCTTGTTCTGTGCACTGTTACTCTCAGAATGACACCTTCTGTCTGCTGTGCCATGCAGAAAACACAGTACAGTAATTCTTTTTTTTTTTTTTTTCTTGGTGTGGCACTGGGAATTGAACCTAAGGTCATCACACACAGCTATGTCTCCATTCCTTTTTAATTTATTTTTTATTTTTTTTGGTACGGGGGATCAATTTGGGACCTTGCGCTTGTGAGGCAGGTGGTGGCACCACTGATCTAAATCCCTGCTCCAAGTTCTTTTTTATTTTGAGACAGGGTCTTGCTAAGTCACTGAATTGGCCACACTGGACTTGAACTTGGAATCCTCCTGCCTCAGCCTCCCAGAATGCTGGGATTCTGGCATGCACCCCCATGCCATGAATTATAATCATCTATAAGGCTAATGGAAAGATAGCTTTCATTGTCATTCTGTTTATTTATAATTTTACCTTGTTTCTTTGGATTAGATTATTTCCTTTCATGAGTCAAATGATCCTATTATAGGTTTCATTTTTTCCCAGCATTTTCAGGTATAGTCAGACCGATTGTAGGTTGAGAATTTGTCTTAGAATTGTATTTTGTTGTTGTTGTTTTTTGTTTGTTTGTTTGGATTTTTGAGTCAGGGTCTCACTCTGTAATTCAGGCTGGCCTTGAACTCACAGTGATCCTCCTGCCTCAACCTCCTGAGTGCTAGGATTACAGTCTTGGACCAAAACACCCAGCTTTATCCCATTTTAGCAGTTCATCTTTAAATTAGGAAAAAGTGTATTATAACTAAGATTTCTTTTTGAATGAGATAAAACATTAAACTGTAAAATGAGTTTTGATTAAAATTCAATTTTAAGTAAAGGTATTTCTGTGGATAAAGACAGCACCCAGTCTTTTTGTGCTCCTGTGAATGGTGCAGGGGAAACTGAGGCTCGAAGTAGGGATCTGTTGAACAGCTGTGAGGTCATGGAGGTCAGAGCTTGGAGAGTGCAGTGTAGGTGCTGAGGACAACTGAGTTCATCTCTTGCAGAGAACCTTTTCTTTTCATTAATCCACGTTTGCGGTGCACGAGCGAAGTCTCCACTCCTGTGTGGAGTCGCTGCATGTGCGTGACACATCCTCATTCCTTTCTCATCCCCTCCCCTTCCTCCATCTCAGTCCGCTTCCCCTCTGAGAAGGATCCACCTCCCTGTTTCCCATTATCTGTCTTTTATTTATACTTTGGGTTTCTCACATGAGAGAAACTAGGTGGTATTTCAGCCCGTGTGCCTGACTCATTTCACTTAACGAGTGGTCTCAAGGCGCATCCGTTTCCTACCAGTGACTCAAGTTTATCCTTCTTGATGGCAGAGTAGTGCTCCGCTGTGTGTAAACGCACATCTTTATCCGCTCCTCTGTCAATGAAGAAAGCATCATTTTACACCCTGAACCGCCATCTCCAACAGAGCGCGCAGCAGTTAGGGCTGAGGACGATTCACACATCGGTAGTCTCTGGAAAGTTCCACTGATGAGACAGAGGGGAGAGGAGTGGGCGAGATCCGAGGTTCAGGAGCCGGGCCGTACTTAGAGAACCACAGTGTGGACGTCACGGCTCTGCACGTCGGGAGCCTTCTCTGTCCTCAGGTGGCTGTGGTGACTCCGGTCCGCCCCCCAGCTCTGTCCCCTTTGGTCCTGTCCTGTCACCAGACAGAGGCCGTGAGAAGGTGCGGAGGCGGCGCCTTCGTTAGACGGAACAGCGCCGACTTCTCAGGAGGCAGGTGCCGTTTGCCTCCTGTCCAGGTGTCTGGTCTTGGTTCGGCCAAGGCCGAGGAGGACGCAGCCGGTGCCGAGGCTGTGTGCGCCTCTAGGGGTCCCGCTGCCGGCTGCCTGCAGGAGTACTTGGCTCAGGGTGCGGGCGGCGTGGCTGCACTTTGCACATCGCAGGCGCCTGCATTCGGAGATTCAGGCTCGGGCAGCGGGGTTCATGTGAGCATTGGGGTTCAGTGTCCATAGGACGAGGTGATTGTAGAGCTACTTGCTGGGCAGATTGAGACGTTGCTACGTTATGAAGTCTGCACTGTTCATTTTTTTGGGGGGCTACTGGGGATCGAACTCGGGACTTTGAGCTTGGGAGGCAGGTGCGGTGCCACTGAACCAAATCCCCGGCCCTCAGGTGCATGTTTTAATAACACTGGAATGAGAGTGTGTTTTTCGGTGGAAGGTGCATTAGTTCAACTGATGGCTTTTTCTGTTTTTGTGAAAAAGCATCAATTTTCAATTTTGAAATGTTACCTTCGTGTCTGCTTCTTTTTCTCCTCTAGTTACTGATGCCTATTTCATGGGGGAGATAACCATATATTTTACCCTTGTTTGTATATTTTTCTTTTAAAAGACAGTGATAAGACTATATATTTTCTGAAATTTGCATTTCCATGTGAATTGCTCTGTAGCAAGTAAGACCTTGAACATTAAAGCCCATCCATGAAGTATTTAAAAAGCAGTCTCCCTTTTTTACACGAGTTTGCTGATGCTCTTGGTTGTCAGTGTTTGATTCTGTCGGTGACAGGTTTATTTCCGGACCGTGGAGCTTGTGGAAGAGCCCATCGAGGGGTCTCCGGGGCTGAGCTTCTACTTCCAAGTCAACGGCTTCCCCATCTTCCTGAAAGGCTCCAACTGGATCCCGGCGGATGCGTTCCAGGAGAGGGTAACCCCGGACGTGTAAGACGCCGACCTCCTTTCTTGCTCCCCTTTTTACGAAAGCCCACTGAGTTGAAGAGCACTCGGTTTTGCTCGCTTTAGTCCCGGGAGAAGGAACTGTGAGGGCGCACGGGATTCACGTCAACTTCAGGATGCACAGAATCTCGCAACCCGAAATCCCATTCCGAAATCCCATTGACCCGGCTGCTTGCAACCCTCGCAAGCTGTGAGGTGTTTAGAAAACTGTTACACATTTACTCTGGAGGAAGGAGGCAGTGACAGAGTGGCACTGTGGGTCGTGGATCCCAGAGAAGCAAAGATGATTACAATTAAAATTTACAATTTGAAATTTTTATTAGATGTGTCTGCAGCACATAATGATTGCTTTCCTCATGGGGAGTTGTTACAGTTTTGAGCGTGGATTTGAGAGATAGAAACTTGAATGTAACTTTTTATATAAGACTTATCTTTGGCAGGGATTTAGCTCAGTGTTTCTGCCGCCTGCCTTGCAAGTACGAAGACCTGAGTTCGATCCCTCCCTGGTCCCCCCCATAAAAGAAGGACTTGTCTTTTACCTTAACGAAAGAATTTAGAAAGTCTTGGGGAGGGAATGGGGGAGGAGAGAGGATGTGTGGGGGCGCACCTGGTGTAAGCTCGGCCACGCCAGGCTTTGCATGGTCCCACGGGGCTCGGGAGAAGTGAGGGACTGCTCTTGACTCGAAAACAAACCAGAAAAAATGGCTAACTGTGTTAAGCTGTGGGCCTGATAATTTGCTTCCTGTAGTGGTCTTGTAATTAACTACATGTATGCCTTGATATCACGTTCTGTACCTGAAATATATACAACACAGCTTATTTAAAAATAAAGCCAAAGTAGATCATAAAAATTTTAGGTCTAGAAAAAAACTAGAAATGTTTTTCTGAGATCTTGAGAGTAGATGTTTAGAAGAAAACATTTCCTAATTGGATACATAAATTATTATGTTCTGACAGTGAAGATAAACTTTGTGAAGTGAACAACATAAACACATTTTACTTTATTATTAAAGTTCACTAATAGTTTAATTTATTTCCAAAAATGTACATATGCATTGTGTATTATTTGGTGTTTCGAGTGCAAGTGTGGTTAATAACTAAATCTTAATTTGGCTAAAACCTGTAGAAATTTCTCCTTTTTCAAATGTATATATTATTTTAGACTTCATAAGAAAATGAAATTCCCACTTGGACATGGTGGTGCGTGCTTGTAATCTGTGCACCGTGGGAGACTGAGGCAGGAGGATTGCATGTTAGTGGTTTTGTGAGACCCTATCTCAGAAAATTTAAAAAAAAACAGCTTTCATTTTGTCTTATTGCTTGAGATGGTTCTGTAAGATGAACATGCCTCGTGGGGTTTACACAAGAATAAAAATGGTTTACTCCATAGGAATAATTATTGAAAATAGTTTTAAAAACAGTGTAGCATTGCTGAAAACTTAGAAAAATGGTGTCACCCATAATTTTTCAGTTTGTTTCCTTTATATGATACCATTGACACTGAATTGTTTTATCCCACTTTTGTTCATTAGCATTTACTGCAAATCATGGTTTTCCAAGTGTGCTTGTCTCACGGATTGGAAATGCTGTACAAATTCCCCTTAACGGCTCCAAATGTCCGAATGGGCGTCGTTGTGCTGGTTTCTCCTCAGGCTACGGCTCCTTCTGCAGTCGGCTGTGGATGTGAACATGAATGCCCTGCGGGTGTGGGGAGGTGGCATCTACGAGCAAGACGCCTTCTACGAGCTCTGTGATGAGCTTGGGATCATGGTGAGTCCCGGGGCGGAGTCCTTGGTGTCCTGGGAGCGCCGGCTTGTGCTCGGGAAGCATGACTAACTCAGGGTGAACCCAGAGCCACGGCTGGTAGCGGCTGTCAGAGTTGTGTGCGTATTTCAGGTTGGGAGCAGCTGTGCTTGAGGGCTCTGAGTATCTCTCCCTGCTCTTCCTTTGTGGTCCGTGGGTATGCACGAGGGAAAATAAAACACTGAAATAGCGAGCCCCACGGAGCTCTGACCCTTCAGAAAGCGAGTCTGCTAGAATCAGGTAGTGGAGAGGCAGGCTCAGCCCTGCCTCCGACCTGCTGGCCCTGTGTCCCGCACGGGTGAGGCGAGAGCAGAGGGACGTCCTCCGCGTCTCTCCCAGGTCCCGGGACACTGCGGCCCTGCGTGTGACGTGGAGAGGTGGAATCTGCCCCCGTCACCGACCCCAGCACGTCACACAGACTCTGACTGTGGTCCTCATGCCTCCTGTGACGGGAGTGTTGGTCCGTCATTGTATCGTTTGGGGACTAGTAATGAGGGAAGTGTATGTGCTCAGGGTGATGTGATTTCTGGTTTTTTATTTTAAATATTTCCATCTACACTTGGTTGCATTGAAGGCTGCAGAGTCCATGAATATGGAGAGCAGCGGCTGTGGCTTCTGTTCTGACAGCACAGGGGACACACACAGGGCCGTGGACTTGGGGCTTAGTGATTACTGTGGTCCTGCTGACCAGCATGAGGATCAAAGAGGCTCGCCCTGACTGCTGTGCTCTTACTTTATTTTATTTTATTTTATTGCCTTCATGCCCGCCCACCTCTGTCCGCATTTACAGACGAGGAGGCTGACACAGCAGGTCAGAAAGATTGCTCCAACCTGGCCTTCGCACCTGATAAAGGTGCCAGGAAGCGGCTGCTCGGACTATGATTTGAACCCCGAGTGCAGCCTCCCAGGCGGGCTCTGGGGTCTCGTTCCTGAAGGGGACTGAAGCAGACAGCCAGCTTCTCTATGAACCACGCTGTGTGGTGCACACACCCCAGATCCCAGCCACTTGGGAGGCTGAGGCAGGAGGGATTCCAAGTTTGAGGCCAGCCTGGGCCATTTAGTGAGTTAGTGAGACCTTGTGGGGGAAGGGAAGGATAAATATGATGTTGGTTTTATTACTCCCGCACATCTCCCCAAACCCAATGGCTGGTGGGAGTGAGAAAGAATTAGGGATGAGGAGGGTCTGGGGGAAGCTTCATTTCTTTCTCCCAGTACACTCATGATTTCCTTTCTTTTTTGCCTACCTGCGAGGCCCCGGGGCAGTGTGAGGTCTGCAGCCCTGCGCCCCTCTACCCCTAGCTGTTTGCTGGGTATGGGGCAGCGTCTCCCCAGACTCACGGAGCACCCTGCTACCCTGTGTTTCTCTGCAGGTGTGGCAGGACTTCATGTTTGCCTGTGCCCTGTACCCGGCCGACCAGGGCTTCCTGGATTCCGTGCGGGCGGAAGTTGCTTACCAGGTACGTGGTTGCTACTTCGAGAAGAGAGGAGATGTGCACATTTCATTTTCCCTGCTGTTAATTGTCTTCCCTTTTCTTCTTGTTCTGTACCCTTTTCTAAAATTGCAGTGATTTTAACACCACACACTTGCCGACTCCCCAGACCTTAGGCTCCATCCCTGGTTCTCCGCTGAGCTCCCCTCACCACACTCAGCTCCTCACGGACTCCTGGTCCCTGTAGCAGCAGCAGTCCCACCTCCGTGACAGTGCTGTCTTTGGATTGCTTGGTACAGAACCTGAAAGTGATTCTCAGCCCAGGATTCCTTCACATTTCCGAGTATATGCACATAGATACAAGGCCTGGCCATCTGCCGTCTCTGTCTACGGGAGTCCCCCAGACACTGGTCAGCCAGGAGCGAGTGTCTTCGCGTTGAGATAGTCTTTCCTGTTAAGTCAAAGGTGTCTGCCGGCTCCCACACCTTCCTGGTGGGCGAAGCTACGAGGGTTGAGTCCAGGAGCTGAGGCCAGCCTGTGCCCTGTAACAAGACCGCATCTTCGGCAGAAAAACGATTTTAGCTTTGGGCTGGGGGCGGGACTCAGTGAGCGAGGGCCCCGGGGCGACTGATAAACAAATTCCTCTGGGCTGGGTGCAGCTCAGTGGTAGAGCACTGGCCTAGAGTGCTTGGCCCTGGGGTCGAGCTCCAGCACTGCAGAGATGGAGTGGGAAGAGGGAAAGGCTTCTCAGAGAGCTGGCTGTTCCAGGGTTTGGAGCACTTTTGTTCCGGGTCGTGCTACTTACTCCATTGTCATCAGTGGGTGCTTTCGGCCACAGACAGGTTCGCGAGCCGAGTGCCGAATGCCCTTATTTCGGCAGCAAGCGGCTGTGCTGTGAAGCACAGGTTGCGTTGTGTCCCTCCCTGAATCTTCCATGTGTGGTGATGGTTTTCCTGGAGAAGCAGCCTGGCTCCCGAGCCCGATCATAGTACTCTCCGTGGTTGTGAGCTAAGTACTCCAAGCCGTCCCCTGCAGTGCCTTTCCCTGTGCGATGTGGTCTGCGGCTCTTCTGTCCCTCTGCCCTCTTGCCCTGGGCCGGAACCACTCGTCAGCCTGAATGTGCTCTCTCTGGTGAGCCCTCTCTGCTGCCGCGGTTCTAGACCAGGCTCGTTGCCTGTCCTCAGTGGCACGCGGCACGCGGCACATGGCACGCTTAGTGAGGCTGAGTCCAGTTCTGTCACCTGGGTGACTGTACCCCCCACCCCCCGGGCCATGCCTGCTCTCTGTGCGTGACCCTGGCTGGCTTCGACATGGAGTGGACGGCAGACAGACGGAGCGTGGAGAGCTTGCATTGGTCACAGCTGTACAAGTTATGACGGAAGGGCTCTCCCGGTGCCCTTGTGCGCTACTCAGGGGTGTGTGATGCAGCCGGCCTGCGTCCTGCGTGTGGCACAAGGTCCCGGCCTCTTCTCCTCAGAGTGTGCGTCTGTGGGGGCTGAGCACGGCTGGCAGATGGGCTCTCATCCTCTTGGACACAGCAGGGGCAGAGAAGGGAGGCGCTGGACTGTTCACAGGGCTGCTTAGAACACAGTTTTTAAAAACGTAACATGTCTTATTTCTCCTTTTTTCATTAGGTTTTTATTTCTAGTGCTTGCTTCAGCAGTACATGTAGCGGATTTTTATTTCTATTGCTTGCAGTGCGTACGACTTCGTCCCTCATGCAGCGGGTGCACGGGCATACACATCCTCACCCAGCTTCCATCCCCGTCTGCCCGCCCTCCCTCTGCTCCGTCTCTTGATCCTCTGCCATTTTGCGAAAGATCTCCATGTTTCCGGTTACCTGCCTTGTGTTTTGTCCTTTCTTTATAGTTTTGGTTTTTTATGTCGGTTTTGAAGCTTGCGTGTCTCGTTTATTTCAGTTCATATTATGGTCTCGAGGCGCATCCGTTTTTACAAATGGCTCAAGTTGACCCTTCCTTATGGCACAGCGGCACCCCCCTGTGTGTAAACGCCACCTTTTCTTTATCTGTTCGCCTGTCGATGGAGGTAAGGGCCACTTTGAATATTTAGCTGTTGTGAGTTGTGCTTCTGTGAACACCGGTGTGCCTGGACCGCGGCGGTGTGGTTCTTTTAAAGTTTTTGGGAAGATTCTTCGAAGGGGTGTAGCTGGGTCAAATGGAACTTCCAGTTTTAGGGTTTTGCGGCGTCTCCACACCGACTCCCGTAGTGGTTGTCCTAGTTTACGTTCTCACCAGCAGTGGGGTAGGGCTCCTTTCCTCACATCCTCACCAGCATTTGTTTTTATTTGACTCTTTTGATGATGGCCATCCTTTCTGGGGTCAGATGGAATCTCAGGGCTGTTTTAGTTCGCATTTCTCTAACGCCCAGGCATGTTGAACGTGTTTTCATGTTTTTACGGGCCGCTTGTACTTCTGTGAAGTTCTGTTTGTTTCACTTGCTTATTTTTTTATTGGGTCTCTTATGTTGGAGGGGTTAATTTTTTGAGTTCTTTCTGTGTTCTGCATATGAATCCTCGTCTGAGGAGTTGCTGGCAGTTTCCCATTGCTTCGGTGTCTCTCTGCTCTGCGGGCCACTTCTTCCACCTTGCAGAAGCTTTTGAGTTTGCTGTGGAAGCGGCTCTCTTCAGTGCTCCCCCAGCGCCCTGTTGCATGTTTCTGAGCTTTCCAGCTGCGTGCTGTGACCGTCCACTCTGGTGACAGAGCGGCTGTAAATAGTGATGAAGTCACAGTGCCCTCGCGGCCCCGAGGAGCACTCCTGCCCATCGACCCAGCTGGTCATTGTCACTGTAACTGCCCTCCTTCCGGGAACGTGTCCAGGTGTCAGCTGCTCCCTGCCTGTGTCCAGCCTGGCATGGCTTCTGCCGCAGTCCCTGAGCTCTTGTCCCTGTTGGGCACAGTCAGTGCCTTCCGACCTCCAGATCTGAGTGCTGTTTCAGGGCCCGGCCTCCCGACCGCCGTCTCTCTCCTAGAGACCTTCACGTACTCACTCACTTTCTAAAACTTTCTCTAGCTCTTCTGCTTCACATTTGTATATTTAACTAAAGATGAATTACTATCTTATTGTACAGATTTAGGGGGACCGGTGTGATAACTGGGTACAGGTGTGCAGCGTGCAGTGATCACACCAGGGAAGTTAGCACCACCGTCTCCTTGGGTACAAACACTTTTCACTTAATTCACAACCTTTGCACGTTGCTCTGTGCCTTTGGGGCTGACAGTGTGAGTTGAGTTCCCCATCCTGAGCTACACCTCATTGTGTGGCCACACGTGCAGGGGACACTGGGGGATGCGGTCCCTTCGTGAGTCCTGGGACAGGTAGGTGGGTACTGATGGCACCTAATAGGGCACTGACACCCCTGGGGTGGTGGCCTCGTGGGAATGGGGTCTCTGTGCTTGAACTGAGTTCATATCACGTGGGTCAGCAGGGATGGCCACGCCCCTCTCCAAAGGGCTCTTCCCCTGACTGGGCCAGGCCCATTTTCATGTTAGGTTTTTTGTGAAATAAAGAAGAAATAGATTTTATGGGTTTATGGGGTGCAGTGTGGTATCTCAGGGTGCTGTGGTCCACTCTGCACCTTTGCTCTGTTTGGAGTCTTTGCTCGCCTCCCAGGTTACTGCAGAAAATGGGGGTCCCCTGGCCTGGGGTATCGACTGCTCCATGCTCTCTCCCCAGAACCCACCCCTGTCTTCTGTGTTGCTTAGAACTGGTAATTCTGAGAATGACAGGTGGTTTTCTTTCTCTTTTTAACAGAATTATGTTTTCTTCCGTTTTTATACAGCACAGCAAAGGAACCCATCTTATTAGTGTATATTAAGTCTTTTTTTGTTTGTTTTTTTATTTTTTGGTTTTTGAGACAGGTTCTCACTACGTAGTTGAGACTGACCTGGAACTCACTATGTAGCCCAGGCTGGTCTTGAACTCACAGCGACCCTCCTGCCTCAGCCTCCCAAGCACGGATCACAAGCGCAT